GATTAGGTAAAGAAAGAGAGTTTCTCCTTTCAGTTTATAGTTTAAAAATAGGGGTCTTAGAGGAAAGAGGGTGTGGACTATTTTGGTGGTGGGCTCGGGCCCAGGTGGGATACTCCTCCTCACCTTCTCAAGAGTCTTTTGTTTCTCAGAGGAATGCCTCACAGAGGTCTTGCTTTCATACCAATAGGCAACAAGTATGGGTCCTGAAGGAGAAAGGAAAGCCTTTTCTTTCTGCTGAACAACAATGGGCATGGGCATTGCCTGAGAAAAACGACAAATGAAAATGTGTGTTTGTGATTGTTGTTGTCTACATGTATAGTGTATGCATGTATGTATTGGAAATGCTCATATGTGCACAGATAGAGCCTGAGGTTGACACTAGGTATCTTTTATCCATCTCCACCTTTAGTTTTTGAGGCAGTGTGTCTCACAGAACCTAAAACTCATTGATTCAGATATAATGGATGGAAGTCTATTAGTTTCAGGAGTCTGTTTTTCTCTACCCCACCCAAGGGATGAACCTCCATGCCTGACTTTTTATGTGGATTAATCAAGTCCTTACATTTGTGTGGCAGACACTCTAATGCCCGAGTCATCTCCCCATTCCTGGGACACAAAAATTAAAAAAAAAAAACCATCAAAGAGAACATCCTTTGAGATGAAGGTCTATGCAAGATTGGTGTTGGGATGTGATTAAAGCAGACGTCTGGCCAGGTCTCACTCACTCCAGTGTGTTTTTGCAGCCAGCCTACCCACGATGGATGAAGTGTGTGGAAGACACAGGAACCTTCTTTGAGCCTACCTTGGCAGCACTGTTTGTTCAGGAAGCCTTTGGCCCCAGCATCCAAAGTGCTGTATGTGAGAGCCTTTCCCTGTCTACAACCCTCCACCCTTCCACCCAACACACCTTGCCCTGCTTCTATAGAGTGTGTCCTTGTTTGTGGTGCACAAGGAAGGAACCAGGCAGAAAAGAAATTCAACTAAGAGGGAACTCAGAGACTTACTCAGTCTCTTGGGCAAGTCCAGTTTAGCCACAGGACACAAGTAACCACAGTATGAATTAACTCGAACACCTTCCTGGACTTTCCTGGTATTGTGTTTCTTCAACCATAAAAAATATCTAACTCCTTGACCTTTAAGGCTCCTCCCTGTTTGTATAAGAGTTTTGAACAACACTTGATATACCAGGAGATCAGGATTATGTAATTTCACAGAGGGCAAATGAGTAACTTCTGAATAAGTGGCGGACTTGGTGAGAAGGGGACTTGTGAGCATTTTACGTTTAATAGTTTTAAACTGACATTATTTTCCTAGTTTAATAGGAGAGGGGAATGAGCCAAGAGTAACTGAACAAGTTACTTAGTGTCATGGAGACACCAAATACCAGTCAGCATTTGAACTCAGTCTGAAGCCAGAGTCATTTCTGATATTGTCACCCAAGTCCTTCCACCAACAAAGAATGTATATAAGACAGTGAGCATTTGAGAAATGAGGAATATGGCTCACACTCTGTGGCTCTGAAGACTCCAATCTGCTGAGAAGCCAAGGAATGTAGGAAATAGGAAATATGTCTTAAGTGGGAGGGCATGAACACAAAGGCCTTGAAGCCAAGATGGAAACAGTAGCTTCCCATGCCCTCTGCTGAGAGAGTTTTCTGTCCCTCAGGAAAAGTACCCATCAATCTCAGATATCCAGATGGTCCCTTCTTGAGGCAGCCAACTCATAACCTTCTCTGTGCTTGGCACTGCCTTTGTAGCCCCACAATCTTCATGCCCTGGGTATTTGTGGTACTCTGAGAAATAGACTCTTTTGTGAGCTCTTTCCCTTTCTCTAGCAGCTTCTGGAGCCTAGTAGGCTCTTTAGGGCCAAGATCTCTTTACACACTACAGCAGGACCAGGGCTCAGACTGACCCTAATACCACTTTCCTTTTCCTGACCTCATCTTCACAGGCCATGGAATTATTTGCTGAGATCAAGGATGCTGTAATTATACGCCTCAAAAAACTTTCCTGGATAAGTGAGGAGACGCTGAAAGAGGCCCTGAACAAGGTAAGTCCAGGAGTACAGGCCACTTTGGGACTATTTAAGAGACAGTTGATCACTGGATTAAGAGATGGGATGGAGGAGAGAGAAAGGGGCAGACAGTGCAAATGTGGGTGACAGAGTTCATGGTTCTTGAGGGTTTCTGAGGGTATTCTGGTTGCTTACAAACTTTCGTTTCTCTTTCCAGCTCACCAAGCTGCAGGTGGAGATGGGGGCCCCCAAACAGGACTTGAAGCCTGAGCTAGCCAAAGAGGAATACAGTGATGTGGGTCTTTGTTCCTTTCAGTGCCCCTTATGTCCTTGACTTCTGACTTCTCTGACCCAACTGCAAAGCAATCCATTTTCTATGGGCAATTCTGAGCCAGCCTCCTCTTTGCCCTGGTGCTGAAGGGATCTTATAGACAAAACAAAATGGAATTTTCTAGGATATATATATATATATATATATATATATATATATATGCATGCATGTACACACATGCATTCTGTGATGTCTATGTTTATCTCCATGATGATGCATGTCAACTTTGTCCCAACATAAGGTGATATCACAGGGTGGTTTTTGCTAAATGTGATTGCATGCTTATCAGGGCTTTCATGTTTAGGTTTAAATGTGCCCAGTTCCCTCCTTTTGTATTCATCTTGGTGCATCTAAACGACCTGCTGCCTCTTTCCCAGATACAACTTGGTCCTAACTTCCTTCAGTCTTTCCTGAGCTGTGCACGATCCCTCCAGGGCAGAAATGTGCGGCACTTCTTGCAGCCTTTTCCCTCCCACAGGTATGAGAATAGACACCCCATCCCAGAGATGGGCTTAGAGCAGTGACAACAGTCACAGAGTTCATGACCATGGTTGGGAGAGACTGCATGTGGCCTTGCAAAGACAGTAGATGATGGAGCTGTGCTTGCATTCACTCTCCACACAGATGGACGGGCTCTCCCTGGGGAGTCAATGCCTACTATTCAGTATCTGACCACGTGGTGGTCTTCCCAGCTGGCCTGCTTCAACCTCCGTTCTTCCACCCTGGCTACCCCAGGTATGGACCATTCTCGGAAGGTGAGTCTTTTGGTAGGGGATCTCAAGGGGGATGAATAGGTTGTTAGGATGGGTAAGACGTAAGACTTGGAGATGGAAAATGGCAATAAATATTTTTGAAGGTTTCTCAAAGTAAAAGAAGACTTTATCTCCCTTAGAGCCGTGAACTTTGGCGCTGCTGGTAGCATCATGGCCCATGAGCTCTTGCGTATCTTCTACCAGCTCTGTGAGTAATGATTCATTGGGAGGCAGGACCACAGCAATCACTAGGGAGGATATCAAAGGAAGCCTGAGGGAAGAGGAAGGTTATACAAAGGCTCCACAGGGACCAGTCTGAGGAATGATCCATGTTCCTGGAGCCAGGTATCCCTCATGCTCCACTGATTTTTATAGTTTTTTTTTTCTCTTGTTCCATTTTCAACAGTACTCCCTGGGGGCTGCCCAGCCTGTGACGCCCATGTCCTACAGGAAGCGCTTCTGTGCCTGGAGCGCCATTATGCTGCCTTCTCCTTACCCAAAATGGCCCCCTTCAATGGTTCTCACACACTCCTGGAAAATGCTGGAGATATAGGAGGCCTGGCCATTGCATTCCAGGTGTGCCAAGGTCCCTGTCCTTCTGTTCTCCTTCCACTATCCCTCATGAAAACATAGTTGCATAGCTTTCTGCCCTTCACATTCCCACTGAACAGATGGCAACTTGGGACCCCCTTCCTACTCTGTAGATCCCCCACCTTCTAGAACAACTGTAGGTCTTCTGGTAAGTACTCTTTCTTCTTCCCTCAGACCAGTAGAGTAGTATATAGGTAGATAAGGCAGCTTAGGAACTTGTTGGGGTACTAGGCTATGTAACTGGCATCAGACTTCTGAGTGCCTACAGATCTGAAGCCTGACAGGAATTTCTATCCCATGCCCATATCTAGGCATACAGCAAGAGGATAGCAGAGCACAGCGGAGAGATGACCTTGCCCACCCTGGACCTCAGCCCCTATCAGCTCTTCTTCCAAAGCTATGCCCAGGTGAACAGCTGCCATTTCCCTCTACACTGAATTCATATCAGTTCAGGACCCTGTCACTGATGCAAAAAGGATGCTTGTCCCTTGCTACACTGCTCCATACTCACAAGCAGGCTGTCATGGATCCCCACTTGTCCTTGTCTCTCTTTAACATAAACCTGTTGTTCCTTCCTTTCTCATGCTTCAGAAATACAGACCACTTTGAAGGAGCCAATGACAGCCTAGACATATGACCACACTGCTCAGAGACCTCAGTCCTGGGACTAGTTTCCAAACTGGTATCACTCCTTTTAGGACTTTGTGCTCTGCCATCAGCATGGCCCACACTTCTTCAACACACCAATGACTCCCTTACAAAACTCCACTACTAACCCCCACCCACTTCAGCCCCTTCTAAATGGTAACATTATACAGCCAAGCTTCTTCTACATGGCTAGTGCCATCCTGATGGATTTACAAATAGTAAGTTCTCCATGTGGCTCCTGAGTACCCTTGCCCTTCTTCTTCTTGTTCTGTATACTGATCTCCTAGCCCTTGTATCCAGTCTCTTCCTATAATCCTGAGACTTTCTCTCCTCCTTACCATTCTTTGACCCTCTTCCTCTTCAGGTGATGTGTGGAGAGTCGAGCTCACAAGACCCTCAGGACATTTACAGCCCTCCCAGTCTTCGAGTCCATGGACCCCTCAGCAACACCGCAGCCTTTGCCAAACATTTCCGTTGCCCACGTGGTACTCTTCTGAACCCCTCTGCCCGCTGTAAACTCTGGTAACATGGCTACCAAAGAAATTGATGCAGATGCACCAGCACCTGGCCCCACCTTTGAAGTAAAAAAAAAAAAAAAACCAAAAGTCTTTTTTTCTTTTTGTTCCAAAATTAAAAGCGTGTATTTAGCTTTAGATCTCTCTCTGTGTGTTTTTCAGTGTTTACGTGTGCACTATGGGAACATGTGAGTTACAGCTCATGTACGGAGGTCAGAGGACAGCACTGCCTATCAGTCCTTGCCTTCTACCTTGTTTTGAGACAGGTGTATAAGTCAGTGTTAATACCAGGATGACTGCTCCTCCAGCTTATGGGTACTCCCCTGTCCCCACCTCCCATCTGTGTGTGTCTCACTGTAAGAGTGCCGAGATTACTCATGTGGATGACTATATCTGGCTTTAAGTGGGTTCTGGGGATCTAAAGCCAGCTCCTTGCACTTCTGCTGCCATCGCGTAACCCCCAGAGCCATCTCCCCAGCCAACTCTGTCATCTCTCGATGCCTCTTTCCTGCTGTGCTCCACTCCTAGAAGTCAGGAAGGAGAAGAGGGAAAAGTACCAAAAAAGGCTTCATGGACACTGCAAAAGCAGCCACAGTTGGTGAGATGCTGGGTCTGAAGGGCAGTACGTGGGCAAAAGGCCAGGCAGTTAGTTCAACAAGCCCGGGAGAGAACCAGAAAGTCTGTTTGCAATTGTTTTCAGGATTTTATTGCTATTGCTATTTTATTGTCTCTATCTCCTCCCTCTAATCTGCTGCTTAAGACAAAGCTTAAGTGTTAGAAGGGTGTGGGTCTGGTGTCTTTGGCCGTGGGGTATGAAATTCTGGGTTGGGGTGGCAATCAGGGAGTGGCAATGAGAGAGTTGGGAAAAGTCTATGACTGCACCTTAAAGTCAGGTGCTTCTCAGACACGGGAGTAAGGTATGCGTTTTTGAGGAGGCATCTTGGAGAAGACGTCAATAGGCAACCACGAAGCGGAGGTAGGGGTCCAAGTCCTCGTGAAGGAGCCAGACTACTGCCTCCACCTCAAAGTCTCTCATAAAAAAAATCACAATGCTGGCCAAGTTGAAGCAGAAGGCTAGGTTAAAGAGGTGGTCCTGGATAGTTGCTCCCTGGGCGATCGTTTCTTCTTCTTGCTGGGCCATATCCATCACCTGCCACAGCTCACCCACTGAGGAAGCCACAAAGTGTTCTTCGAACTGCTCTTGGCCCTGGTCTGGAATATGAAAAAGGGGCAGCCCAATCTCAGTCCTGGTCTCTACCAGGATGAGGAGTGGGTGGAGGATGGATTGACAAGGGAGTGCCAATTTGCCAGCTATAACGTTGGCCTTGACTTGAAAGTGAATGCTCTAACTAGAAAGCTTTTCAGACCCCACTTCAACCACAGCCCCATCCCAAACACATGTGACCTCCAGTCCTCTTACAAGTCCCTCTCTTTACAGTGTTTGACTCTTTGGGGAGTGAGGTACACCCTCAGGCATGAAGGCAAAGCCCCCTCTCTAAGTAAATGCTTTACTTCCTCAAGAGCTTTGGATAATTGCAGCTAGCCTATGCTGTGGCCTGACTGAGGCTTCCCAATGCTAGACAGTTTGCCTATTGTTTAATATTTATGGTGATAGAGAACATGAGTTAGCTCCTGAAAACCAAGCCCTTCCCAGCTGAGCCTGACTTAATCAGCTGCTGGAGCCTGAATTCAACGCAAGCCTATGTTAACTGGCACCCTCCTCCTGCATACACCCTCACCCCTCTACCTACCTGCAGAGGACATTTTCTCTTTCTGACTGCCGTAATCATCCAGGCTTGCACTGCCCTTCAGAGTCCTCACCCCCTTCACTTGTAGCAGCAGCAGGACAGCTGTCAGGAAGGTTGCCCTGTGGAGCTGAGAGCATAGGGAAGGGATGGGCCTCCTCTCCCACGCTGCCTTTCGCCCCAATCCACAGGTTCCAGAATCACCCTGTGTCTGTCTCAGTCCTTACCCCAAGCCAGCATCGCTTTTTCTCCTTCTCTTCCATAGGACCTCTGACTCTATGTGTTCTATGACATCACTGCATGGGTCTAACCCACATTCTAGAACATTATACCTTTCCATTTCCAGACAGAAGGGTAGAAAATGACAGATGTTTCTAAAACGACCGTATGAGTCACCTTGTAGATCACAGCCCATGGGGACTCCAGAATTTGACAAGTACCATCTCATCTATTATACCATTGGATCTCCACAGCCTCCTGTCCTCCAAAGCAACAACATTCTCATAGTCAATGACGTAGATGAAAAGAAAGTTTCACTGGGAAAATACATCTCCCATGCAGGGTCACAACCATCAGTGGGCAGAGCAGGATTTCCCATTAGTGTTTCTGAGTCTGCACATGACACCTACTTATAATTCCATGTAGCTTTTCTCTGTGCAAAGTGGTTGGCACAGATAAGGCCAACGACTTTCTACACACCAGTATCCTTAAGTCCACACATTTGGCTGGTGCGCTGCAAGGAATTTGAAGTCTGTTGAAACTATGGCATAGGCGCTGGTGGAGAAAGTACACACAGCCTGTAAGACAGACAGAGAGGCAGGGAGGCAGAGAGACAGAGAGACAGAGACAGAGATGGAACTCCATGCACAGTGCACAGGGATGCATAGTTATAGAGGCTGGGAGCTAGGCTTGTGGAACAGTCATGCACTTCCAGTTACCCCAGAGGAAAGGAAACAGCAGGAAATCACTAGTTCAAGGCCTCCCTGTTTTACAGACTGCCTTCGGTCAAGGTTGAGAAATTTAGGGAGACCCTGACCCATAAAAGTTCACTTTTAAAGGAGCTGAAGATGTAGCTCAGTGGCAAAATGCCCAGCATGGGCAAGCACCTGGGTTCAGTCTCCTGTACTACAAACAAATGAAAACACAACACAAAACAAAAACAAATGAACACATGAGGAAATATATGCAGAGATCATTATCTTGTCTCTGAGTAGAGGGTATTTTTTTTTAACTCTTTTTCCTTATTTTTCTTAGACTTTATCCTGTTGTTTACATCTAGGCTGAAGTACCTCCTTTTATCTTGTTTCTTCTTGTACTCTGAGTCACAGAGAAGCTGTTTCAAGGGTGTCTGACAGCTCCTTGCTTGGTAGAGGGGTGAGAGTCTATAGAGAGAAGGCAGTGCGGCAAGGGGTCAAAGATCCCAAATAAAGGAATTGAAGAGACCCTGCCCCCATGCCTGTCCTCTCCACGGGTAAGACCTGTTGGCTAGCTGGCAGAGAGGACTCGAGTATGGTAGGTGGGGAATACAGTACGAAGGTCCTTGTTAGGAAAACATGAAACAGACATGGGCTGTGAGCAGCCAACTGGGCACAGGGACAGAAAAGGTTCATCCATAACACTCTTTCTTGCATCTACACATTTCCTGGAAAACTGCAAGCAAACACAGGCGCCAGGGTATATACACGAAGATACACTTTTCTGCAAGAAAGAATTGGAGAAATGAGACCATAAGAGGAGAGACAAAATTCCTTCCCATGGAGGTGTGCTAGCAGGCACACTCGAGTGGAGCCTGCCAGACTCACTCCAGCTGTTACTTCCTTGAGCTCCAAACCAGGTGACAGGAGACTGGGAAATGATGCAGAAGGGCACTTTATGGTGGTGGCATAAAGGTGTAAAAATGCAGTGACCTCACTCACCTCAGCCTTGTACCCATTGACCTGCAGATCCAGCGAATGATGAATGAATGGAAAAAATGAAATCACTAATCTCCTCCTGGCTCCTTTGGAGGAGGAGCTTCTTAGGTCTCTGGTATGCAGAGAAACCCCCAGCTCTGTAGACATGAATGAGGATGGCAGTAGTGGGAGGGCCAGGGTGGAGTGGAAAGAACACACTTGGGCTTGTGGTCAATGACTTCTCCCTCTTTACTAACTCACCTGCCTGACTCCCAGCCACAGAAGAAGTGAGTCAGGCAGAAATCACGATTTCCTTAATTTTCCTGTTCTTGCAAAGTATAAAACACATACAAGTGCAAAGGAACAAAAAGCCCTAACAATCCCACCATCTAATAATGACAACTCCTGTTCATGTGCTATCCCGATATAGTGCTTAGATCCTCTTCCTAGATGAGCAGGTGGGAAAATTGCCCTGGATTCCAACGACAAAGGTGGTAGGCCTGCAACTAAGATGCAGCTGCCCTGCTGGGGGCACTATAACTGGGGAAGCCGCTCTCTGGAAGGGGCTACAGTGGCGCTTGATGCAGAAAGTTGCAGGGGTGCAGAGGAGAAAAAGAAGACAAAAGGACAACAACAGGACAGTATAGACTATTATCAGAAGGAAGATAAGCCAAAGGAGGAAAGACTCAAAACTCTGTTTCACCTACTAAAATGGAAGGAGACGAGACAAGGAACAACTTGGTCTCCACCCAAGTCACTTATTCATATGCATCCAATCGAAGAATTTAGTTCAGACAAGAGGGGCAAGAAGAGATTGAAGACCTATGTGTGGTTACTCCCTCTCTTCCTTCAGGGACCTATGGCCAATGTCCTTGCACCTGCTCTGTGTCTCCCTGACTGAGCCGGCCTCCTCTGCTGCAACTCCTCCCCCTCACCCCCTCAAGGATCAGCTTTATGGGCTTACAGTTTCTTTGGCAAAGGCACCCTTCATGACCTACTCCCCCTCCACTTATCAGCGCATCTGCATCTATAACCCTCACCTCAATCTTATCGCTCCCTCCATCTCCTTGGACTAGAAGTCCACAGGCCCCCGAGGCCATTAGCACCCGTACTGCCCCACCCCCCACTGAGGCATAAAAATGTCCCACAAGGTGACCCTCCCCTCTGCCTGGGTAAGAACAGTTTCTCCAGGTCCCAGGCACCTCTTTCCTTTCCATCCTTGCCCTGCTCTAGGGGCTATTTTGCTTTTTGGATCAGAGCTTTCTTGCTTATGTCAAAAGAAGGGGCCAATCCCAATGGTCCAAGGCTCTCTAAGGAAGGGTCTCAGTAGATCCCACTTGAGTCTCTCCTATCTTTCCCAGGTCTCTCCAAAGTTTCCCAAGAAGTAGAACGGCCCAGAGAGCAATGAACTGGCAGCTGAGACCCCCATTTCAAAGTGTGTTCTAGTTTTGCCTCCAGCCCAGGAGCTGAGAGAGCACACTCCTTCTTGGTACAGTGTCATCTCATTCTAAAGCAGCTCTGGTCGTGTTTCTGCTGCTCACAGGTTCATAGAAAGAGTACGTTCAATACCACTGACACGTCTCTTGAAAATCCATAAGAAGGCCAATGCAAGATGCTGTTTTGTAAAGTGACACCTCCTTATCATCATCCATTCCTCCTCCTATCTCACCCCTAGAAAGTGTCCCAGGATATCTCTACCCTCTAGGCATTCTCAGTACCTGCTCTCCAACATCAGGAGTCAAGAAAGAGCCCCTAGCAGTTGTCTAAGAGCTGCACCCCAGGGTACCAGTTTCCCCTTCGTGATTATCTAGCCTGTTCTCCCTCCAAATTCCTTGGCCCAACTCCTCAGCCTCTCCCAGTCTCAGCTGCCCAGCCCACTGCCATGAACTAAGAATGCCCCTCCCCTTTCCCCCTCCCTGCTCCAGACTGCTTTGTGCCCCCAGGCTCATCTCTGGGAGGGTCTCCTCCCCTTCTCCCAGCAAGGTGGCTAGTTCTTCGTTACACAGGCCACACATTCACACCCCACAGCCACCCACCACAGGCACAGGAGATATATTCACCTGAGTCTCCACTCAGCAGACTTAGCTGTCATCCCAGACTGACTCCTTCCATCAGCTTTGCACAAGTTGCGAGCCCTTGCAAGAAGACATGGGGGCCAAAGGGCCGTGGATCCAACTCCAGAAACTTCTCAGATGGTGGCTCGGCAAACAAGACTGGCACCAGCACTTGGATCAGCTTCACATGCTGCAGCAGAAGAGGTAGGCTCCCGAGGGTACCCAGCCACCGCACAGGGTCTCAAGTCCTTGTGTACACAGCCGTTCCCCTGAGGCAGCACTCAAACTCTGTGTCAGGCTCTTGCCTATTATTTACCCCTTCCAGTCTCGCTGGTATAAAACTCCAGCTGGCCCATGGTAGCGGCAATAGAAAGTATGCTGTTGTCTATATGGAGACCTTGAATACAGACGTAAAAGTAGAAGACAGGTAAATTGGTGGAGAGGCCAAGCCAGAAAAGGTTGCAGGGGGAGTAGGTTTTGTGGGGAAGAGATCAAATCTTTAAGGTTTTGAAGTAGTCTTTGTTTAGAGGACTTGAAGAAAGCTTGATCAAGGAGTTGTCATCAGAGGAATGAAAGCTGATGACCTGGGAAAGGGGGAGGAGAGGTTTAATTGCATGATGCCTGGAGGTGACCAGCTGAGCAAGGCAGCTCAGATGAGAACGGAGGGCTGAGTTCAGTTCTCCCTCTTAATGTGTCAGGATTGCCGGAGATCAGGGAGATAACCAAAGGCCTTTAGTCCCAGGTTGCTGACCCATCTCCAGAAAGATCGTTGCAGGAATGAGCTCTGAGGTCCAGAAGTCGGAAAAACTGTCCAGGCAAAGGGCCAGAGAGCCTCCCTCAGGTGAGCTCCGGCTCCAGAATGTTTGTGTGGTTGGCTTCCCCTTGAGAGTGGGCTGGCAAATGGAATGAACTGAGAACAGAATGCCTGCTGCAGAAGATTCTTGTGTTTGGCTCAGTTTCCAGTTTGCCGCATCTTGAAAGTATTAATGATTGTGAACACGGAGTCTTGCGTTATTTTCCGTACTGAGTTCTGTGAGCGCTCCGTTGATTCGCCAAGCTCCTCCCCAGGTTACGCAATGGGAACTTCGGTTTCTCGGCATTTTGCGCTAGAGTGCACCTAGGATAGTCTTTGAGTTCATTTGGCTTCAGAAATTTTCCTAAGTAAAGGTGCAGGGGGGTCAAGAGCTAGGATGGACAGAGTTTTATATCGTAGCCTCGAGACAGAGAGGTTAAACTCTGGAATCCAGCCCTAGCCACTCTGGGCTGGTCAGGGCCACAAGGCTCAACTGGGACCAAGAACTTAGGTGAGTTAGGGCAGGTTCTGACCTCTGACTCTAAGCTCCTCCTGGGAGCATTATGCTTGATAAAACAGTTCTTTAACTACAAAGTTCCTTCTCCCTGGAGACAATGGAAAAAGAGAATCAGGGACTGAGAGACATCATCTGTTTGTCTCCTATGGTTTCCCTATGGCCCCCAAATTCCTAGATCCACATTTGCCTTTGGAGCCTAGACTATGTCGTTTAGGAAGACTGGCTTTGGCTTCATTTCCTATTCCACATATATCCAAGCAAAGTCAAATTCAAAGATTAACCCAGGGGCATTTGTAAGACCATCTCAAGCAGCTGAGAGTCCCAGTGCTCATTTCTCTTTGGTTGAAAACAAAGTATCTGGAGTCTTACATCTAAGGTCTAAGTATGGGAGGAAGGTGTGGCCTATGGGCTCCCTGCACACTCTGTTCATAGCTGAGATATGCATTTGAACAACCCTACAAAGGAGTGGTAAGAACTTGAGTGGGGACAAATGCAAGAATCCAGGGCTCAGCTTCACAGAATCTGTAAGGTCTAAGGCTAGCCCAAGTCCTTTAGTGGCTGGTCACCAACTCCCCTTGGCTACAGAGAGCAAGTCTAACTGACCTGGAAGCGTGGGGATGTTACAGAAATGCCTCCTCCTTCTCATCTCCTTTCAGGGTTCTGACTTACTTATGTGGATTTGAAGAAGTCCATCAGGCCTAAGGTCCTTTTTTTCCCCCACAAGGATACCCTGAAACCCACTGCATGCCCCAGACTCTTGTTCCTCAGGAATAACCCCTTATATTTCATTATCAATTAAGTTATTCATCGTTTTTATTTAGTATGTTTTCATTAAAATATGATTATATCACTTTTTTCTTTCCTTTCCTCCCTCCCTTCATTCCCATACCCCCAAAATTGATGGTTCTTTTTCTTTGATTATTATTGTTTTACACACACACACACACAAGCACACACATAACTTGCTGAGTCCACGTTCACTCATTGTGTGTAAGTGATTTCAGGTTAACCAGGTTGTCTTAGACAAGCATTTATGCAGCTCCTCTCTGAGCAGTTGGTAATTGCCTGTAGTTCTTTGTCTAGTGGCAGGACTCTGATATTTTCTCTATTCCAAGTTAACATGTCTATCGATACTGCCACTTATCAGGTCTTGTTTATGCAGCCATTTATCGGAGATGCAATTTCACAGCAGACTTTGTGGCCCTCTCTGGTTCCTAGCAATCTCTTCACCTTTTCTTCTTCTGTGTTTTCGAGTAGGAGTTGTGTTGAAGATGTATTCATTGTGGCTTGTATCCCCATGTTCCATTGATCTGTGCACGGTGTCCAGTTGGGCTTTTCTGTGATGGTCTCTATTTGCTGTAAGGAAAATCTTCTTTAATGAGAGTTGAGAGCTGTACTTATATGTGAGTGTAAGGATAATTATTAGAATATTGTTAAGAATCCCACTGACCTAGCACATTGGTGGTAGTGGACTCTCTTCTAAGATCGATGACCTCACTGGCCCCATGAAGTTGGTTGGCTATTTCTAGCACCAGACATGATTTCTGTCCTGGTAATTGAACCTTAAGTCCAATTAGACAGCTGTGGGCTACTGCAAAGATAGGCGTGTTACGATGGCACCTTTAGGGATACCTTGCCATGCTGGTCAGTGTTGTGGTTCATAGATGTCACTGCTGGACAGGACTCTTGATTGCTTTTGTCTGTTGGCAACTTGCACAGTAATTTCTGGCAGACCAGGAGGCTTCCAGGTTAAATCCTGCTTGAATAATCTGAGGCCTGTGTCCTAAGTGCAACATTTTCAACCATATGAAGAACTGTCCTGTCTTTCTAACCACTACAGCTAACACTCAGGCCACACACAAGCCTTCACTTTCTGGGAGGAATTACAGTGAGAGGAACCACAAAAGAAGTCAGAGTAGCCTTAAAATGAGATCTTGCCTTCGTGTCTTCTCATCCTTTGAAACCAATGAATAACTCAAGAGCAACAAATTGATTTGTTACTGTGTACTGTGAGAGCCGTGACCACCCTAGAGAATGGCTCTGCCTCCTCTGACCATGGCCTCTCTGTGATGATCCCTAATGAACTTCTACTCATCTTCCGCCAGTATTTGGGAGTCTCCACTGCTCCGAGCAGCCAAGGAAAATGATCTGTGCACACTTAAGAAACTTCAGCATGACCAGAACTGTGACTTCCGACAAAGAGGTGAGATCTGAGATAGATGGATAGAGGCGGCTTTGGAAAGGGCTGCTTGGAGAGGCTCCTGACATACTGAGGTCTGGAGTCGGGAGCCTCTTCCCTGAGAGAGACTGGCAAATGTTTGGTATTCTTGCCTTGTTTCATTCCAGCTGCCCTGGGATACACAGCGCTGCATGTAGCAGCTCTCTATGACAATCTGGAGGCCGCTACGATGTTGATGGAGGCAGCTCCATACCTGGTCACAGAGCCCACACTGTGTGAACCATTTGTTGGTGAGGCAGTCTTACAGTAGTTCAAGCCTGAACCTGATGTGGGTGGGTAGGGTGGGCTAAAATTATTCTGTGTTGGGTGGGCTTGGGGAAAGGGTGAAAGTGCCTCATGAGTTGAGAAAAAGACAAGACTCTAGATCGTGGGTTTTAACTTCCATGGTTCTATTTTAGTTGTTCCATATTTCCATATTTCTCTTTAGGTTTCTCAGGGCCCCTCAGACCATAACTCCATAGTTCTCTCTCTCTCTGTTTCTCTCTCTCTCCTTTCCCCCTTTCCTTCCCTCTCTCACTCTCTTTCTCTCTCTCTCTCTCATTCTCTCTGCAACCTTAGACTGTTCATATGTATAGCAATCCCTCAATAGATGAAGAATAGAGACACTGACCCAGGAGCCCTTGGTCCTGGCTACTCTGCAACCTACAGCAGAAGTTTGTGTGGGGAGCCCTCAGGGAACTTCTGTAAAGGGCTACGGGGTGTTGTGCCCCAGACAGAACCGTGACACACAGCTCTCTCTGGGCCAGGTCAGACTGCACTACACATCGCAGTCATGAACCAGAATGTGAACTTGGTCCGAGCCCTGCTTGCCAGAGGAGCCAGTGTCTCTGCCAGAATTACAGGCTCCGCCTTCCAACGCAGTCCCCACAACCTCATCTACTATGGTGAGATCCAGGGCCAGGCTCAGAGAAAGGGGATTTGGAGAGCTGGATGGGACAAAAAGAGGGAGGTTACGGAGGATCTTTTCCTTCATTCCCTTTTTGTAGAATCTGGGAGGGTATAGTCCTTCTAGGACTTAGAACCAGAGTCCAATTCCCTCCACAACATTCTGTGCTATATTTCCCTGAGGTTCTGCTGCGCAAGTGATTCCAAGCCACAAATTGACTTATGGGAGGAGATGGCTGTTGTTGGGCTGGAGGGCAAAAGTCCGTCTCCTCTTCTGATCTTGCTGTCTCCTGTCTCCTATCTCTTTGTGTCCACAGGAGAGCACCCTTTGTCCTTTGCTGCCTGTGTGGGCAGCGAGGAGATTGTCAGGCTGCTCATTGAGCATGGAGCTGACATCCGGGCCCAGGACTCCCTGGGTAAGAGCTGGGATGAGGAGAAAGTGCTGGATGCTGGGTGTGAGAGGACAGGGGACAGGGAGTGAGTTATAAGGGGACCTGATGCCAACCTCTGTCTTCCCCAGGAAATACTGTGCTGCACATACTCATCTTGCAGCCCAACAAAACCTTTGCCTGCCAGATGTACAACCTGCTGTTGTCCTATGATGGGGGAGACCACCTGAAGTCCCTGGAACTTGTTCCCAACAACCAGGGACTCACACCATTCAAGCTGGCTGGAGTGGAGGGCAACACTGTGGTGAGACCCATGCCCTAAGTTGTTTTTTAATGACCTTTCCCTGTCTACCCCATCACTGGTATAGGTAATTGACTTGGTCCATAGGTAGTCTCTAGACCATCTTCTAACACACCATTCAAATCTTTGCTTTCTCCGCCAGATGTTTCAACACCTGATGCAGAAACGGAAGCACATCCAGTGGTCATGTGGGCCACTAACGTCTTCCCTCTATGACATCACAGAGATTGACTCCTGGGGAGAGGAGTTGTCCTTTCTGGAACTTGTGGTTTCCTCCAAGAAGAAAGAGGTATGGATGTCATAATGGTTCCAGAAACTTCATGTGAGAAACACATCTTGAGATATTGCTTGCTTTTTTTATCTACTGAGACACTTTGATCCCAAGATACCTTACAGCCTTACATAGATAGAGACCCTGTCTATAGGAGAAAATAGTTTCCATAGGTACAAATATTATCCAACACTCATCTTCTGAGATCACTTTTCCCCTCTGGGCTCTACTCTCTCTGTTTATTTATCTCATTTTAACCTTTCAGATTAAGAATCTAACTTGGAATCACTTCCCTCTCTCCCTTCCTCCCTCCTTCCCTCTCTCCCTTTCTCCCTCCTTCCCTCCTTCTTTTCCTTTCTTCCTTCCATCATTTAGCATGTTAAGTACTTGCTGCATTGTCCCGGACAATACACAAGAAACCAAGGGGACAGATGAGACAAAAACATATATCTTTCTAGCCAACTTCTTCTTTTTTTTTTTTTTTTTTGGTTGAAATGTAAATTTTATTTATTTATTTTTATTGAGAAAAGGAAAAAAAGTTTCTGCCTCCTCCTAGCCTCCCATTTCCCTCCCCCTCCTCCCACCCTTCTCCCCCTCCCTCCACTCCTCCCCCCCCACCCCCCCGCCTCCAGTCCAAAGAGCAGTCAGGGTTCCCTGCCCTGAGGAAAGTCCAAGGTCCTCCCCCCTCCATCCATGTCTAGGAAGGTGAACGTCCAAACTGGCTAGGCTCCCACCAAGCCGAAACATGAAGTAGGATCAAAACCCCGTGCCATTGTCCTTGGCTTCTCATCAGCCCTCATTGTTCGCTATGATCAGAGAGTCCGGTTTTATCCCATGCTTTTTCAGTCACAGCCCAGCTGGCCTTGGTGAGCTCCCAATAGATCAGCCCCACTGTGTCAGTGGGTGGGTGCACCCCTCGTGGTCCTGACAACCCTTGCTCGTGTTCTCCCTCCATCCGCTCCTCATTGGGACCTTGGGAGCTCAGTCCAGTGCTCCAGTGTGGGTCTCTGTCTCTATCTCCATCCATCACCAGATGAAGGTTCTATGGTGATATGGAAGATATTCGTCAGTATTGCTATAAGTTGGGGATAAGCGGGGACGGGGAGAGAAAAGTGAGAAGGGGAGGACTGGGGGAACTTGGGGAACTTGGGATAAAGGAAGGTTGGATAGGGGAGGAGGGAAGCACATATCTTAGTTAAGGGAGCCACCTTAGGGTTGGCAAGAGACTTGAACCTAGAGTGGCTCTCAGGAGCCCAAGACGATGTCCCCAGTTAGTCCCTTGGGAAGCTGAGGATAGGGAACCTGAAATGACCCTATCCTCTAGCCAACTTCTTTAAATTTGGGTTGTTCTCATAAACTGCAGTTGAGTTTGATCTGTTCCACGATGGGGGTGCACACTGTTCACAGGAGCAGTGAAACAGAGGTGGGAACTATTTGGCCTGGATGTGATGAAACACATCCACAGCCAGATGCGGAGGAGGGAAGATGATAGATGAGGTGGGGAGGCAGCTGAAAACCTAGGAAGAGGCAGATTCAAAACAAAGCCATAGGCAGAAGTGTTTTTTTTTTTTTTAACCTTTGAGGGTAGGGGTAGGAAGAGTTTCAAGATGTGTTTGACAACCCAGACAGGAAGTTGAAGGAGTCCTCAGAGAGGAAGTGTATCCTTCCCTGGGCACTCTAGGGGGAGCTGTGTGTCACTAGGAAGAAGGGAAACAAACAAAAAGCCCCAAACAAACAACACAAAACCCTGAGTTTTGCATCAAACTTTCAAGGCACGGAACAGCACAAAGAGAGTCAGATATAATAGAGTAAATGGACAGAAAGAAAGAGTCTAGAGTGAAGAAAAGGCTTCCATCTTCAGGAACCTATTGATATGGTTCAAACTGAGTTTCTGTTGACTATCTGCTCTATGACAATTTCCTAAGAACCCTTCTAGAACCACAAATCTTGAAAGATTATTCTAACTAATGAGCAGAAGAAAAATTGAAATCTACTTTGTATGAATCTGAAAAATCCTGGAAGCACCTAAAGTTTGAGCGCGTTTTCTTAGACCCCTATGGATAATGTAGGTTCTGCAACCACACCCCATACTCTTTGATGTCAAGTATTAGCCACCTGCATTCTCCTCTGGATTTTACGTGGCCTGCACCAGCTACTTTTCTCTAACACCACCTGTCTGGCTCCCACTTTTTTGCTTGCAGTCGTCCATCTGAGGATCAAGATTTTTCTATTTTCTGGCAAAAATAGATTCTGTGGTTGGGGGCTCCTTCAGCTTCCTGCCTGGATTGTTGAGGGTATCTGGAAACGGTCTTTCTTCCTCCCTCCACTCTCAAGGGAAATTTTCTTATTCCCCCAATCTGTTATGTTTTACTTTGAATTTGCCTCTTCCTGGCTTTTCTGATGTCCTGTCCCATCCATGTTGTTCTCCCCGTTGCACCCTGCTGTTTTCCTCTCTCAGAGCTGCCATCCCATCTGGCTTATACTATTACCACATCCTACTGTCTCCTATACTTTCCTGCTTAGAATTCCCAACTTCTTTCTGTTACATTTAGAAAAAAAATCAAACCCCCTCTCGTGATGTCTACAGGGTGTCTGCACAGCGACCATTGTTATTGCTTATTTCTCTCAGGCCATTTCCATCCATGAGTCTCAACAGATGCTCTCCTAGTCCCAAGCATGTCTTACCTGCAAAGGGGCAGTGGCTTCTCAGATCTTCCTTTCTGAGTGACTGCTGCTATTTGTGGAATAACCTTGCCTAAATGTCCCTTCAGTCACACGGCTACTATACATCTATTGGAGCCTCAGTGCTGCTGTGTGCTCTGTGTTTACTACAGTGAGCAAGTACTTCTCCAAAGCACTAGTGCAAAACCTAGAACAGAATGGAAATTCCTAGCCACCTATGAAAGAAATGAATGACTCGGCCATGCCCTGTCATCTGGATCGCAGCTCTACACTCAACTCTGCATCACCATGCTGATCACTCCGCATTGTCCTCTTTCTGACAGGCTCGCCAGATTCTAGAACAGACCCCAGTGAAGGAGCTGGTGAGCCTGAAGTGGAGGAAGTACGGACAGCCTTACTTCTGCTTCCTGGGTGCTCTGTACATCCTCTACATGATCTGCTTCAGCATATGCTGTGTCTACCGGCCCCTCAAGTTCCGTGAAACCAACCGCACACATTCTCGCGATAATACCATCATGGAACAGAAAACATTACAGGTACATCTGCAAAGGGGTGAAAGGGAATGGTGGTATGGTGTAATGGTGTTGGAGACCATGTTGATTCTCTCCAAAAAAGACACTGGCCACAGGCCCAGGAAGTTGCCAGCACCTTATTACTAATGTAGGAGTTAGACAGGAGCTAGGAGGGCACAGATGGAGCCTCAGCAGGAAAAGTGTCCAAGAAGCTACAAAATTCCCCCCTTCTCTCTCTCTTACACACACACACACACACACACACACACACATTTTTAAAAAGTGTTTGGTGTTTTTAACCTTGCATATTTGAGAAATTCCATTTAATTTACCAAGCAGTTCTTCTCTGTAGTGGGTTGTCTAGATCTCTGTTGGAGAATCTATAGAAAGATCTCAGAAGGGGGCAGCAGTTGAGAATGAATCACCTCTACAGGACCTGCCATTTCATGGTGTCCTGAGGAGTTCTGGGGAGCTAAAGATGGAAAAATAAAGGTGTGGAATAGATTAAAAGTCATGCCAAATAAAGCAAATTCTTCTCTTCCAACAAAATGCATAGATTCTGAAGAGAAGCTTTGGAATATGTGGTCAACCAGTAGAACACCATCTGAGGGGTTTGTCTATGAAACCCTAAAATTTTTGTGCTGGTGCCCTAAAATAGTCCCCCCACAAAAGTAAGGACAGAAGAGAAAGAAAAGAAAGAGCAGTGTAGGCTAAGGAAGCGCTGAGTGCTGAGGTCACAGTTACACCAGCGGCTCTCAGTCAAATGACCCTTTCACAGGGGTCACTTGTGAGACACCCTGTGTGTCAGATATTTACACTATGATTCATAATAGTAGCAAAATTATAGTTATCAAGTAGCAATGAAATAATATTATGGTTGGGGTCACCACAACGTGAGGAACTGTATTAAAGGACCACAGCATTGAGTAGGCTGAGGGCCACTGGTCTGTGCAAAGACTAGCCATAGGAAGAGTTCAGCACAGATAAGAAAGGGGGTGATTTTGTCTCAAAGAGAAGATAAATTTCATGTAATCAAAAAGCAAAACCTTGAAGTTTGGGCTTAGATAAAAGTAGTACCCAAACAGGGAGGAGAACCCCAAACTAGGTGAAGATATTCCACCTTTCTTATTTCTAATTTTTTATATTTTCTCTCCTTTTCTATATCTACTTATCTACATATATACACACATATATACAGAATATATGTATATAAAATAAATAAGTTGCATTTATGTTTTTACTATGTATATTACATCTCAGATATAAAATAAGATATATGTATAATTAACTTGACTTTAATATGCTATATTATGCAACTGTAAAAGTTATTCTGAGAAAGAAGAGAGGAGAGAAGGAAAGACAGACATACAGAAAGGAGAGAGAGGGAGAGAAAGAGGGAGATTATTTTATCTCAAAACACAAAGTAAATGATGATACTGCCAGAATATCAGAGCTAGATATAGGTGCTCAGAGGAAAATTTCTCCCCATGGCTCTATTTGCTCATGGAAGCTCTGGCCAATTACAAGCAAAGAGACGTTTAAGCAAAAGAGAGCGACACTAATGATAATTAGGAGGTTGAAGCAAGTGACTAGCAATGGGGAAGAAAACATAACCATGAGCAAACAGAGTAGATAAGATTTCCCATTATCTCTGCCCCTGTGTCCTCCAATGTGTTCCCCCAACCTTTGTCTCACACCAATACAGAGATTACACACTGGCAATAACATATGAGGTTCCACCCTTCCAGCACTTTGGTGATGCTGAGTAATTAAGTACAACTAAGTCTGACGTGTCTTTCTCATTGGGGCAGTGTGAATTAAACATAAACATCTTTCTTTGACCCAGGTAGACTAAATTATGCTTGAAAGATTTTTTCCCTTTACCTCCAGACTAAAAATAGCATTATTATAGCTAAGTGCCCCAGCCGTCCTTCTTTCATTTCTCTTATTCCTTCTTTCTTCCTCCTTAACATCTTTACTCCTTTCTTTTTTGCTTAAGTCAGTCATTGTGAACAAAATAGAAGATTCTTATTAAATATTATTTCCTTGGAAATAAGTTAAGAAGTAAGAAGGTCAAAGATACAGCAATAAGGGATTTAGATAACAATATAAATAAATGAATGGTCCCTGTTCTTTGGTGTTAAATCTTTAAGCCTTGGATCTGAGTTTCTAGAATATTCTGATTCTAAGTCAGTTTAGATAGGATGAGAATTTATCACCATAATTTGGAATATTTTACTTTCACGTCGCATTATTCCTTGAACAATAGGAAATTCTCTCTCTTTTCTATTTGTATATTACTTGAAAGCCTCAGAAATGCAAAGGTTTAAAAACATGCTCTCTAGACTTGAATTCAATTGTTGACCAGTTAGTTACTTTGGGGAGCTTTTGCTTAAATAAATGAATACTTAATAGCCAATGACACTAGTCATGCTGGAGACACGGGGCTCTCAGTAACTCCGGGACTCCCTTTGTGGATCTTTTAGGGTCTGTGGAAAACACTGGGCATGAGGACCTTAAAGAACTATTCTAGTTCATGTGTGGGAATTTATGTGAACAATCAAGTAGCTGCACGCTGGAAATTTGGAATAAAGGCCGAAAATCCTCTGTTTCTGTGAGACAGCATAAAGCACATAAAAACTGAGCCTGTAAAGGAGGAGCTACTTTAGCTCCACTCAAATGTGGGTGTGTCAGAGTGACTACAGAGTTTTCAAGTAATTGAGAAGTTCAAGGTTTGAGAGCTAGGCTTCTTGGATTTTAATGTGAACTCTGAAATTAAACAGAAGGATGACTGCTAGTTAATTGTATCACTTTCTAGATGTGTGTTTTGTAAGTAAGACTACACATTACAGGCTTGGGAAGCTAGGAAAAATACAAGTCCTTGTGCTACAAACCAGACCTAAAATTTTAGAACTTAAGAAGTAGAGACCTGGCTTTGGTCTTTTAAAGAAATCCAAGCTACCGATATTCAGGTAGGATTGAGAGCTACCAGACCAGACTCCATCCTGGAGGTTTGTTTCTAGCTTTCCAGTCACAGGGTTACTTTGACTTTTGGTGTACTATTTGTCACGAGAACATTGACTAATTCCCACCATTATCACCGGCATGGTTATGGCTAGGCATGCCCTTTTTCCAGCATTCAAGTGGCTTGCTTGATTTTATACACAAAGTACCTAATCTAGAGTATAGTCTAACTAGAGCTATACAGTAAGATTGTCTATCTATCTATCTATCTATCTATCTATCTATCTATCTATCTATCTATCTATCTATCTATCTATCTCTATCATCTATCTATCTATCTATCTATCTATCTATCTATCTATCTATCTATCTATCTATCTATCTATCCCTTTTATCTCCTAGAAAAATTTCTGTCGAGTTCTCTTTTGTTGTTTTTTTTTCCTTAGGAATATTTCAATACTTCATGAAATAAATAATGCTAAGCACTAGTTTCGATACTAGAAACTCAACAACCATCGTCTGAGCAAAATACAATGTAGACAGAATTCCTGTTTAAGAATTTGTAGATTGATGTACATTAACAAAATTAGCATATAAATATGTTTTGTTACAAGTTGCTTAGCACTAAAATTTTACCCAGAGTAAGAAAAAGGACATAGTGTTAAGATAGCATATAGCAGCAGCCTGGTTCCTTTGAGGGACAAACAAAGATTATAAAGAATCTTCTGCCCTAAGCTGAGGCCAAAATGATAAGAGACTTTCAGGTAAGGAGAATGCATATACACAGAGCCTAAGGCAGGGAAATTCTCTTCAGGGTCTAGGAAAAAAGACTGATCAAAACACAGAGAACTGAGCAAGTTGCCACCGATGAGGCTGTGAAGGCAGATCTTTCCCACTTTGTGCAGTGTGTTCCTGTATGTATTTGGCGTTAATCTTCACTGTCAAATTTACAGGATGCTTGGAATTTTAAACATGAAAATAACTCAGTCAACGTGGCCTGCTACTCTCTACTCAGGTTATGTAAGCCTCAAACTCTTGGCCATCCTCCTGTCTCTGCCTTCTGAGTGTTATGATTAGAGCCTTGCCCAACCCAGCTGGATAGAATGATGGGCATTAATAAAAATCCTCGTGCCAAATTGTATACCAGGATAGGAAACAGACTAGAAATGACTAAGACAGACATTATGGGGATACCAATCAGGTGCCTATTATAGTTTACCATGCAAGAGAGAATGGTCAATTTGCATAATGATCTCAGAGGGAGGTGATGAGGAAGAGTTCACATCAGGAGATTTAATGATGGTAAAATCATCATTTCTTTGTGACGAATGTGAACAGTGAGGGGGAGAACAATTTTAGGAGTTATAAATGGTTTTCTATCTATTTTAAATCATTGATTTGACATAGTCAATATGATTATTCCATATGCCCTTCTCTCTGGAACGTTCCAGACAACCCCGGGCACCGTAGCCCTATAAAAATCCACCTGATCTCCAATTCTGTACAATTTCTTGTTCAAGGCTCCCAATCAGCTCCCTGTGGAACAAGCATCCCAATTAAAGCCGAGGGAGGAAAGAAGAGAAACAGGGAGCCCGGGAGATAAAAATATCCTCTCCCAAGTACTTACTATATGTATCCTGAACACACTCGTCAAGCTTTAGAGACCCTGTTAAGCTCACCTGACGTTTCTGGCAGTAAAGCTGGGGTAGGATCATAATGTTTCATTTTTAATAAGCTACAGGTAAAGATGATGTGGTTTTGTAGATTGCCTTTTATACGTCAAAGCATTTTATCATTTAAAGTTCCTCTTACTCATAAATAAGATAAGCGCCATTGAAATAGTGGTGGCTACAAATCTAAAAGATATTAAGCACTTTGACAAAGACATTTGGTTGGTAAAAGTAGTGTAGGCATTAGTAGACTTCAAGTGCCTATCATCTTAGAACCATGAATTATAACTACAGAAACGGGCAATTTCCTGCTCCCGAGTCATAGTCTATCTCCTAGGTTTTTTTTTTCTTTGTAAATGCATTGCATGTTCCAGACAACCTCTAGGCTTT